GGGTTTAAGGGGTTGGAAGATAGAAAAGATGGAGTCCTTTTGCTTACAAGTAATATTTTTAATTCTTGGGTATGATGAAATATAAAAGTTAAAAATATGGGATAATAAGATATTTTCCTTTATAACTAACTTCTTCATGACAGTTGTGAACCTATGATAAATGTTATTAGACTGTCATCCAATGTAACTGAAGGCAGAATATTATGGACCCGGTTTGGGTGAGTCAGCCAACTCGCCCGTTTTTGTGTGCCTCCTTATGCATCATATGTCCATCTCTATGATGGACATCAAAAAATTGTGCCTTCACTAATAAGCTAAAATGGGTGGTGGAAAAAGAAACTCAAAATACCATATTTATTTTTCAAAAAAAAAAAATCCATCGTGATCATCATCATTGTGAGATCAGAAAATTCTAAATCCATAGAAGATGGATTTTGGAAGGGCACAAAATAGGTGAGTTGGCAGACTCACCAAATATTTCCCAAATATTACATTAGGAGGAACCAAAAAATAGATTAATAGGGCAAGCCACTCACCTGTTGTGCAAGTAAGACAACAAAGATTCCTCATTTGAAAGGCCATTATCCTCCAAAATAATGGCAGCCACGTCATAACCTCTAAGCTTTAAAGTCTCGTATGCTGAAATTGTCCCAGATATACCACCAAGTCTCCCATCTCCAACAAGGACACCAGGTAACCTGAAAGGTCTGGTTCGCTAGAAAAATAAGATAAATTCGGTTTGCTAGAAAAATAAGATCAATTCAAAATAAATAAATTCAAAATAAATAAAAGTTTGCCACAAAAATAAAATAAATTCCAAATAAAGAAATAAACAGAACTTCAAGCATGTCTTAGTTATCCAAAGCGCCCAATGGCACAAAACTAGAAGGCTAATTTGATTCTTGGGCAATATTGAAATCTTTTATTGTGTTCAAGGAACTAACATCAATAACTTCACATGCATCAAAATAAGATAATACTGCAAATAACTATCAGGAATGAGATAAATACATTCAAAAAATTTCCAGAAAAAATATTACTGTCGATTTCTAAGTGCATTGGAGGCTAAAAACCATCCATGGTTTCTTGTGATACAGAAAGAGAAAATAAAAAAACTATGTCTAACCAAAATAAATAAACTAAAAAACTAGATTTTATATGTTGAGTGAAAAAATTCTAAATAAACAAAGATGATGACAAAACAAATAGCACAAAATCATCATAATAATAATAACTATAAAAGAGAACATAAACAAAATAAACCCAAAGAGTACAAAAGTAAATAGCAAAGAGATAAGACAGACACTATGTAACCAACCTGAAGGCCATAGCTATCATCACAATGTTGTCTCTAAAAGTCAAATATTGAACCCATTTGCAATTGACATTACAAAAAGTTATGTCCATCCCTTTATAATTGCTGTGATACTATGAGCAAATGACCCATCATATATAAAGGCCAAATACACAAATACAAGATCAGACAAAGCACCAGTTTCCATTGAAGAGAAAACAGACAAAAAAAAAGTGAGCAGATACTTTTGAACCAGAAATATCATCCATTGAGCAAAAAAATGCAGTGTCAACAAAGATTGCCATACAAGGCCCCCACTCACCATAACCCATTAGAAAAACATATACAAAATAGATTCGTAAAACAGCCCTGTAAATGTTTTTCTTTAGTTCTTTCTGCTTGAGCTAACAAATATTTGAAGCAACTAAATGACCAGGCATAAATAATAGTAAAAAATGCACAAAAAAAACCAAACTCAACAACTTACCAGTTGCCATGAAAAGCAAACACAAAAAAGTGAGCAGATAAATACTTCTGAACCATAAATCTCATCCATTTAGCAAACAAACACAATCTCAACAGAGATTACCCTCAACACCATAAGGCAAACATATCCCAAAATTGATTGCCTAAACAGCCCTATGGATCCTGTTCTTTTCTTTTGTTCTTTTCCCTTGAGCTGACAAATGAATGAAGCAACTAAATACCTGTAAAGATCACACTGGAGCGTGCCAGAAGGTCCAGGACTAGCAACTCCCCCTGCAATTTCAACTATATTCCAAAGCTGACACTTTCCAAATGCATCTTTCTCTCTCGTTTGAAACAGCAAATTTTGTTGCAATGACTGGAGTAAAACTGAATCACTAACAAAAGCACTTTCTCTCTCTACAGCGAGATGGGGCGAAATTGGCTGTTTCCATGCATACATTGTTTTGCACATCAATTTTGAACCCTCATGTACAGATCCAGGAACACGCAACTCCCTCTCCTCATACAAACCCAAATCCCTGAATCCATCAATGCTTCCACTTGTGCAATCTTCGGTTCTAACCCCTACAAGTCCTTCTAATGCAGGCTCTGAAGCTTTGAGAACATGATTTGAGGCAAAAATGCTCCGAGAAGGCCTCCGATGGTGGAAAATTTCAGAGACCTTTTGATACACACAGCGAGAATCTGAATCAATGGGAAAACCAGTTTGAACAGGCTTGATATACTGGACATTCAATGGATTCGAGGGTTTAGTCTCCAGTAAGAGTATCGAAGAAGCAAGTCCAGCTGAAACTAGGGTTTTTCCCACCCCGGTATTTGAACTCCAAACCATGAACGTAGGGTGAGAGAGGCTTACTTCTAGGTTTACAGAAGTGGTACAGAAAGATCTGGTGAATCGTGAACCTGCAATTTTAGTGAGATAAAATACTTCATTAGGTGTGCATAAACCACCCATGTTCCATTATTATGCAAATTTAGTGAGAGAAATCGATGAAAAACCTCTTTTTTCATGTTTTTACAAAATTAGATAGAGAACTGATGTACCAGTAGCGTGGCAACGTCTATTGTTTTGTGAACCTGCCAGTTTAGAGAGAGAAGCTGAACTTGAAGGAACAAATAAGAGATTGAGACGGCCATTGAAGAGGAGGCAGCGTCTTGCGTTCTGCAGAAAAATTAGGGTTCGCGCCATGGGTCAGAATGCCGAAGCTTTCAACCCTGGCAAAACACAGAACGACCACAAGAAACGGCTACCACATTTGAACATTAAATGGTGCGCACAAAATTAATAAACTACCCTCAAACATTTATTGCTTTTCTTTATTTTTATATTTCCTTGGGTTTCATTCTTAAATAAAACTGGTGCTTTAGATTCATGTCCCTGATTCCACTTTTAAGCAGAATTTTGAATGAGACTTGAAATTAACATAAAATATTCGAGATCCCTTAACTTTGGGAAAAGTTTATATAGAACCGAGGCTCTAAACAATTAAATTTGAACCTATCTAAAAAATTTCACTAGAAGAGGTTGTTTTTTATGTTTACATATCTTACATATCTTCAAATTGATTATCTCGAAATCAAGTCGCATGGGCATGAGAAAAAAATAAATTTCAAGTTTTAAAAATAGTGTATTTTATAACACATTTTTGTACTGTCAATTTTCAAGATTTTCAAGTTTTTCAAGTTTTTATAGATTTGTCGATATAGACAATTTTTTAAGCTTTTAACTGTATAAATTAGTATAAAAACATATTTTAAAACTATCATAAAAAATTCCAATATAGAAACCGCTTTTTTTTATACTATTTGAAGGTAGGCTCTAATTTGATTGTTTAGAGCCTATGCTCTACCCAAATGAGAACCAATAACTTTTCAATGGTTTTATTTTTAACTTGTTTTGTTATTTTCTAGTCTTTTTCTATTGCTAAGCATTTTAGGTTTGTTGGATTTTAAACAAAAAGTAAGATCATCTTGTGTCCTTAAACTGATGAACCACTTTTCGGTGAACTTAGCCTCCTCCATCCCTTGAGACCAACATGAGGTAGTACACAAATATTCATATATTGTCCATCGACTATGCCTTTCGGCTTGATCTTAGGCCTTGACTGACCTTATGTGGATGAACCTTGCGGAGGAACCTTTAGGTTTTTGGGACATTGGATTCTCACTAACTTTATGGATTTACGGGTAAAAATAGGCAATCTGGTATGTTTGTGGTTTAAAAATCGCCGATCAATATCCGATTTGTGATTTATGAAGCATAATCACATACTTGTATGAAAAGTTATGAAGCATAATTGTATGAAAAGTTATGACTTTTTATGATTTATGAAGCATAATTTGTGATTTATGGAGCATAATTGTATGAAAAGTTATGCCTTTTTATATTTATTTGAATTGAATAAACTTTAAAAAACTTTGATTTATTACTCTGTTTGATAATTCAGCCGATCTAGATCAGTATAATGGATTGCTCATCCATAATCGAATCCTAAGTTTTGTAACACTACTATTTTCAAAAAAAATTAAAATATCTTAGATTCTATTTTTAGTTTTAATTTAAGGGGCAGGTTACCTGGGCTCTAATTTTTGGGGCTGGTGACCTAGAATGTTAGGTCACCTACCTTGCCTAACTTACCAAACTAGGGAGATTAAAATGTATCCTTTTGGGGCTGGTGACCTGCAACGTTAGGTCACCTACCTTGCCTAACTTACCATACTAGGGAGATTAAAATGTATCCTCCGCCATAAAAGTTATCAAATTAATCGCATCCTTCTTTTAAACGCCTTTGGCTTGTGCACCTTTATGCTGTCCACGTGATGTGCACTTGAGAATTTCCCCATTCGAATTACCTTGTGCGGCTAACTCGCAATGCCAGCTTTCCTGGCTTGGCAATAAATATATATTTTAAATATACTTGCTTTGTCCGACTAGACCGCATATTGTAGAAATGCCAGCTTTGCTACTTTATAGAAGAGTAATTAATGATCCTATAGGATCTTTTTCAATCGATGTTTGTAAGACCTTAAAGAATCATCATTAAATTTAATACGGATTTTTAAAAAAGTTATCACATGAGTGTGATACTTGACTTTTTTAAATATCCATGCTAAATTTAATGGTAATCCTTTAAAGTCCTACACATATAAGTGGGGAAATGTCTTATAGGATCATTTATCTTTAGAGAATATATAATTTTAACATGAAGATCATGAATATGAAAAAAAAAAAAATTTTCAAAGCTAGAAATAATAATTGTATCAAAAAAACATTTGGACCGTTAGTTATAATTGTTTTTAGATAGACCACCTATTTGCATCCATCTTTATGATGGATGCTTTATACCTGGACCGCATATTGTAGGAATGTGGTCCAACCCCGCATGAAACAATTTTTCCATTTTATTTACAAAAAAGGAGAAACTTGTCTTTTGTTTTTAAGGGTGTAAATGAGTTTAGGTGACCCCAACCCATACCCATCCTGACTAGGTCCTATTTTGACCTAACCTCGCCTACTGGGTCGGGTTAGGATCTAAATTTGAAAATTATAGATTTTTTATAATATATATTACAAAATACAAAACTTTGATCCTCTGTACAATGTATAGAAGATCCAATCGGGTCAACCCCAACTACAACTCAACTCGATAAGTACTTAGGCTGAGTCGGAGTCATATGGACGTAGCACCAACCCACATGTGTCCAGACTTGAATATGGTTTGGGTCAACCCTTATTGTTTTCCTTCTTATTATATCGGATATGTAAAATGAAACCATTTTACCTTACAACGTTACATTTACTAATCATCTTATGTAAAATTTAATAGATTGAGTGTGTCATAAAGTTTGAGAAAAATTATTTTGAACTTGAACTTTATCAATTGAATAAATACAATAATCCAATTTCACATCGAAATGATTAAGATTAATTATGACCACCTTGTACCAAAGATAAATAGTCTCATTATCTAATTTTCCCTATTATATAGGGGTTTAAATAAGAAGTTCCATTTTTCTTTGTACAGGTTAGTTAGGATCATGTTATCGTAAACAGGGCATCGAAACTAGCCAGAGATTTGGTAGTCTCAAAACCAGACTGCCCACTCATCCAACTACGTGGATTAGATACTAAAAAATAAAAAATAATGTTAATGGTTAAAAAATATGCAACACATTACAAAAAAATGTTTCGTTATGTTTAACTAGTCCGATGATAAAAACGACCCATCCGATTAGCTAAAACCAGTGTACAAAAAACTCGCATCGGCCAAAGAACTCGCTTCCATGGCTAGGGTTCGTTACTGGGCATACACAGCTCTGAAAAGCCCTAAATAAATTTTTTTTTTAAAAAATAATATTTAAAAGCAAAATAAAACAAAAGACAATGTCTAGGATTCCAAATCAACTTAAAAAATTACTAGAAAAATGGATTTGGAAAAAAACAATTTTATAGTTGGGGCATTTAAAAAAATAAAATTGTTTCATGCGGGCTAGACCACATTTTTACATATGCGGCCCAGAAAGTGTATAGCATCCATCTTATCGATAGATGCAAGTAGGTGTTCCATCCATCTAAAAACAATGGAACTAACAATCCAAATGTTTTCTAACTAAAATTATTATTTTTAATTTTAAAAATTTATTTATTTATTCATATTCATGATCTCCATGTTAGAGATTATATGTCCTTAAAAATTAAGTTTTAAAATCCATGTAAAAAATAGATTTATTAAGACAGCCCGCATTTTTACATATGCAGGCTTGGCTGGATAGATACCGGGTCCTTTTAAGAAAATCTTAAATATATATATATATATATATAAAACACTAACTTATATTTTTCAAATACATCATTTAAGAAAAAATGTATGTTTTTATAATTTTTCAACTTCTTGGAAAAAATTTAAATACCCTAGGTTGTCATGCAACTCACCCCAAGTTTTTACAACTCGAGGGTCCGGTCCACTAGCTAAAACCATCATAAATTGATTTGGCCGATTCTTAGCAAAATCTCATTTTACGTTTGACTTGGATTGACCAAGGCACTACGGTCCAACCCGAAGAACCGGCCGGTCCGATCTTATATCGATGGCTACGATTAGAATCTTATTTTGCAGTTTTACGTTTTGGTTTATTATCACTTTTCAACTTACAAATTATCACTTTGTTTTTTAGACGCCAGGAATCATTGGTTCGAGGATTCGGTCTTCGACTCTGGTCAAGGGCTTGAGGACGAAGTGGTAAGTAGCATATGAATAACAAGGCATAAACGTGCTTAGCAACCGGTCGAACACTAGTCTTCCAATTTTCAATTTTAGTTTCCCAAAGTAAGATGAGAGAGAGAGAGAGAGATCCTCTTTTATGAATTTATTATCTATTGGAAGCTATCCAATAATTTTAATTAAACTTATATAAATTTGAAAAGTTTATATAAAGTTGAGGGCCTAAAAAATCAAATTAAAACACATACAAATTTTACTATAAGAAGTTTAGATACTGAAAAACCCTCAAATCCGATCAGCTTGACCCCCATATACAAGGAGGTAAAAAAAAAAAGAAAAAAAGAAAAAAAAAAAAGAACTTCAAGTCTTAAAAATAGTGCATTATCTATCTAAACCATTAATTTTCAAAATTTTCAAGTGCTCATAGATCTGCTTGATCTACACTATTATTTAAGCTTTAAATTTTATAATTGGATATGAAAATTAATTTTCAGACCATCATAACAATTTTCAATACTGAAACAACATCTTCCAAAATTATTTAAAGTTGCGTCTTACTTTGATTGTTTAGGGCCTCAGCCTTATACAAACCACACATTTTTCTTTTGCTCCATCTTTTTTTTTTTTTGAAAGGCTTTTGCTGCATTTTTTATTTTCCTAAGTTTTCTTTCCTGAATCAAAGTTTAATGTTGACACCGTATAAATGGTTAAAAACCTCACTATCATTGTCATCATCATTATCCAAGCCTTATCCCAACTATATGGGGTCGGCAATTAGAAACCTTACCTAGAGACAAATACACAAAGCCCTAACAAGTTCAATCGTCAGTACAATAAACCCAAAAAACAAGTCAAATCATCAGTTGAGCCTTGTCAAAGCCTTCACTGTTGACTACTCTTTGCTTTGTGAATTAGCAAATAGCTCATTAGATGGGAAACTGTTTGGGGTGATTTTGTATCCCCAAAAGTTAATGCATCTACAATGAATATGATCATGTAAAATCCAATGGACAATTCATCACATGTATGATGTTCAATGTTTTGCCTAACTACATGAGCATGGGTATATGCTCAACATCTTGTGGACATCCAGCGACCCACGAACGCATTTATGTCGCAAGCATATACCTCGATGCATTGCGGATTCAACGGCATCTTTAATGTGTTCAATGTGGACCGATCAAGAACGAAGTAAGAAAAATTTATCTTATAGTGATGAATAAAACTCAACTTGAAATCTTTACATTCAGAGTAGTGAAAAATGACGGCATGCATGGGGTGCAAGAAACAATGTGGGAATTCACAGCAAAGCCTTCAAAAAATACTGTCCATATCTACTAATTCAAACTTCTTGTTCTGAAGAAGTCAAAATCATCGCAAGCCATAAAAATGATAAAGACTTTTGATTTTCAGAACCTATTGCTTTGTGACAGAGCGGACGAAGAACTCAAGCCACTAATGGGTTACCAAACTTCATATTCTTGGTGCTGAGGAAGAGGAAAAGTTACATAAGAAAATTGATAGAAACTATCAAATGGAAGAGTGACGAATATTTTCAAATACAAATGCAAATAACAGTGAACATGTAAGAGAAGCATGCATGCAGCGTACCTCCACCTATGGTTGCTTCTGGAAGACGCTCGATTGAATATTTATGTTGGGTGATATACATGATGGGCACACCAGGAATCTGTTGCAGACATGAAAATTTCAGGAATGAAAATGATTGGGAGAACAATAAGATAGAAATTACAGACAAACAAATTGCACATCACTCTTTTAGTTACGACGATACCTTGCGAATTCTACGTTTCAAATCTCGATCACAGGTAGCCACAATGTAACACTTGTGCTGTGATAAAACCGGATATAGTAGTCTCAGAGAGTTGAAAAAGAAAATAAGAGTACTGAAAGTTCAAACCAAACTTCTAATTTGCTTAGTAATTATTATATTGGAATAGAGAATGTACCAACTATTTTCTCCTTCACTAAAAGTAACCATTGATTAAGCTTTGGAGATAAAAAATGAATAAATAAAGATCTAATTAAAAATTTAAGAGATGATGGGCAGGGCAGTCTAGTTGCTTGGTATGGCTAGAAATAATGTAGGCAGTGCCAACAACAATTTATTTTGACATTTAGAGAAAAAAATCAGGGATGCTTGCATTTCGAGTATACTTCTTAGATAACCTTTCTATGCTAAGCTCATGGCGAACTATAAATGACATATAATAGGTTAATCTATAAATTGAAATGGTCATATGGTCTTTGGATATGCAGATAGATAATCAAGCCATACACAAACAAATCCAAGTGTGAACCAAATATCAACATTCTATAGAAAGGCAAAAAAACAAAAGAAAAAGATGGAAGTTAGAGAATACCCAAGTTACTCGTTCAACAATACAGTCATCAGCATAGGTTCCTTTATGGGTGCAAGGCAGTCTTTCGAACCGTGGATCTTTTGCAATCCTGTGACCGAAAATAATAGATCATGCTCACTCAGTTGTTCAAACAATGAGACTTAACCAATGCTTTCACATGGGATGCATGGATATACTGTTCAGAAATACAAGCATGAGATACTTTCAAGAACTCATAAGAGAGGTAGCAGGAAAATCTTATTTTTCAAAACTATACCCGCACAAAGTTTCACAATAGACAAAAGCAACTCTTGAGAAAATGGTTTGTGATGGTGCAAGATAGCCTAATTCCCAATAACTAAGAAATAAGTATACCTCAGAGCTACACGGTACTTCTGCCCTAACTTCTCAAGCTCAGCCATGACACAATCTGTGATACAAGGGGTGCCTTCATAGACGCACCAAAATGAAGTGCAAAAAACACTTCAGCATGAAAATAGCAATAGTAAATAAACAATATTAGGCATGAGACTATAACGATGATTGTTGGATATCTGATGAACTCACATTTTGCATACAAGCAATCCATCATTCCTTTCTCCAGATCCAGCTGCATAAAATCGGAAAGATTTTTTTTAATAGAAATAGTCAATGACATAATTACATGCCTAGCTAAATTAGCTACTCTATATTGATCTAGGATTTAATCATGCCAGACATGACTAGATGATGCTATCGTTGAACAATATTATTCCATGAAATGTACAATGTCTATAGCTGTTTCATTTGTTCCGTGAGTTCATCAACACAAAGTCTTCTAATTCCAAGTCTGCCCTTTAACCCTTTCACATATGTTCCTTGAGTTAGTCAATGCCACCATAAACTCCAGCGATACTTTAGACCATAACAACAGAAAGAGATTAGAGCAAATGATTCTTATTTAAGTTTGAGTTAAATAAGAATTGGAGAAATCCTGACTGCAAATATCAATAAAAGAGAAGCACAAATTCCAATTGTGGATATGAATTCCAAAGAAGGTAGGAGTGCTCCCTTTCAGGACCGCTTTTAGAGAGAAGAAGATCAAGATAGAAACACATGTCCAGGAAATAGGTCTTTATCCTATAAGTCTTCACATGCTTGTCAAAGCAACATGAGTATTTCACATAGATGATCTTTTGCCCAAAATAGACTGAACACACGGTGATAGAGCAAGAGTGGCTTCAATTTCAATATGCTAAAAAGTATTTGAGATTAGTTTTATAGAAGTACTATGGTGCCCACAAGTAACAGGTCTGATAGTGCCCACAAGTAACAGGTCTGATATGTTTCAACAGCTTCTTGGGTAAGTCACAGGTTTCAACTTTTTACAGTTGAAGCTTGTGATCCACAAGTTTCTGTTGGTAAACTAAAGAACACTATGTTGATAACCTCAAGAACTATGAAGCATGAAGAAAGCTACCTACCAAATATAGACTAAGAATACACACTCTGATGTAAGATGCCTCTAATGCCCTTTGAAGCCAAGTTTTGGTTATGATAATTAACTTTCATTAGTAACCAAGAAGACAATACTAATGCATGCTGCATGCTGTGACATCAAAAAGCAAGAGGCGACAGTGTTATAAACCTCCTCTGTGACAACGTTAACATATAAGGGCAATCAAGGTCATAGGATCAAGGAAATTTATAAGTTCATTTACTATACCTTTTCTAGTTCCAATCCCCTTATTACAACTGCAGCTTGGGCTGAGGTTGTAACTTAGGGGGAGAAAACACAAATCAAGTGACAAAAAGATAATTTTAATGAAAATGTTTCCAGTGGATGTGAACACCATGAGATTCACATGATATCCTTCCCTACAAGATATTTGATGAAACAAAGTTTCATGCATGCATGATGTTACATGCCAACATACAACAAAAAACCATACAATAAACTACCAATGAACATAAACTTCCAAAATATCACAGAATGAATAATTTGGAGTTTGAATTTTAGATTTGCATCTAATTTCAAGTTAAAGATGCAGTTTGATAAAAAATAGGAGTTCTAAAGAGGACATCATGAAATCTGAATGTGTTGATTATATCCATGAAACTTAACTGTCTATAATGAATCAGGAAACATTTTGCTTATATTTCAAGTTTTCAACAAACAAATGGAAGGGTCTAACCTTGTTTTGAATTGAGAAATTGATGAAGTTAGTATCAACCAAGACCCTGTATGGTGGCCCAAGTGCAGTGTTGTACTTGAAGAAAAGGGCTGATGATACATATGGTCTACAAAACATTAATCAATGCATTAACAAACTGTCTTAAAGTCCAATGAAGAATAATAAAAATCATATAAAAAATGAGATGCAAATCCCTACTGAATGAGGTAAAAGAAGAGATTAAACGAAAAGATAAAAATCTGATTGAACAAATTTCAGATAATATAAACTGCTGTTAAAATCTTGCTAAAGCTAATTCCTCAGGGTCTCTGAGGAGTCTTTTCTTTTTCAGGAGACACCTAATATGTCAATTTTGTTTAAACACCAAAGGAAAAGAAGAAGTGAGTAGCAAAGGTGTTTACACGTTTGGTGGGAGCTTTTCCTTCGTGAGATCCTTCTTGTTAGGGTTAAGAACTTCTTCTTTATACCTGGGAAAAAGCCAAAGTACAATAAAAAAACACTAAACTATATACCTCACAACTTATCAGAGTAAGTAGAATACCCAGAAAAGATAGGCCCAATCAAAGTAAAAATTTAATGACATGGGTGGCTAACTTACTTTTTAATTGTCTTTGAACTGATGATGTTCTTCCTTACAGCAAATTTGGGAGTTTTCTTTGATCGCCCCATTGTGGGGTTGCTCTCCAAACTAGAAAGCACTAAAACCTGGAAACACAAAGGGCAACTTCTTTCACATGATAAATATTTTGAAGTACAAAATCTAAGTTCAGTTAAACAATAGCAATTGCAATTCATGTGTTAGTGTAACAAATGAATGGCACATGAGAATTTCCTTACACTGTTGATAAGGTGAAGAACAGCATAGTTACAAAGTTTATGGAGTGAGAGATGAGAGAGGCCGCAGAGAGAGAAAGGTTGAAAGGTCAGACATCAGTGTGTGTGTGTGTGTGTGAGAGAGAGAGAGAGAGAGAGAGAGAGAGAGAGAGGCAACCTCATAGGGCCATAGTGGGAAGTGTGTGCATGGTAGAGGGAAACATAAAGATACAATATCAAACAGGGAGAAAATCCATACAATATCAAACAGGGGTTTAGATGCATCCGGGGATGCACCGGATACAGTAAGTCCAGCCTTCCAAAATCAATCTTGGAGATATTGAGTTTCGATCCAAAATATTGCAGGTTTATCATCAAGACCATCACGATTATGAATCTAAAAAAAAATGAATTTTGAGCTTTAAGTATCGTCTATTTTCTTCCTTTTTAGACTGTTTATTCAAGTGATCTGTGTGTGATAAGAGGTCCACATTCATGGACCTGGCTAGAAATGGATTTACAAATGAATTTGTAATATCAAAAACTAGGATGGACACATGAGTTGGCTGACATACCAAATACTTATATAAAATCATACCCAAGCTACACATTATTTAATATTTAAAAAGTATTTTATGTAGCCCCAACTGAATCAAACACCATTGCAACCTCCCCTCCTTCTCCACGAAACAAAAAAAGAGAGCAAAAAGAAAAAGTTAAAAAACCACCCCCAAAAAACAAAAAAAAGAAATGGATTGAGGACCCAAAACCATGCAAGTCCATTCGACCTCCATGACACAGATTTGAAAATAAAATTGAATTTAGAAAGCCCTAAAAGTGGCACTCTTGATTGATCTCTCAGCAATCTCGACATTCAATGAACTTTAGATCCTTCAGATTTGCACCACTATAGGCGCTCCAAATACATGTGCTCCATAGAGAAGAGGGGGCGGATCCAAAGATTGAAACTAATGAGCATTAGACTCCTCACAACATGGTGGTGGAGATTTTACAGGAGGCCTAGTAAGACAGTAGATATTGGGATGACAACAATCTAGAGCCCAAGACAACAAGCTGTAGGGAGAGGTGATATGACTGGCTTGTGGTTTGACAAATGGGTGGGTGAAGTACCTCTGTGCTTCACATATCCTCAGATTTTTGCTAAGGTATGCAATCCACTAGCAAAAGTAGCAGATTTAGTGGAAGAAGAAGGTAACCAGCTCACATTGTCGATCGGGTGCAATTATAGAAGAGTGAGCGATAGCTTCATTGACCAATTCACCAATCTCATGGACTTATTAGAGCAAGTCTTCTACCCTCCAATGAAAGGCTATGAGCTATTTGGGAACTCACCACCTTAGGTGAATTTATTGTTACCTCCTTGTATTGTCTTTTATATGCTGATCAAACTGTCATTGTCAAGCAAAGCTAGCACCTTAGTGTGGGGGATGCCAACGCATCATACAGTGCAGGCTTTTATGTGGTTGATGGCTAGAGATAAGTCTGCCCACTGTGGATAACTTAAGAAAAAGAGGCTTCATTGTAACAAACATTTGCATCATGTGTAAGTCCACTCCAATAAAGAGATTATTAAGCACCCGTTCATTGAATGCCCTTTTGCGTTCGATATATGGAGCTGGGCCGTACGAAGGATAGATCTGTGCCTAACATACAACAATTTACTTCACATATGACTTGCCAATGGCTTTCACTTTCACCTAAGCTCTCAAAATGTGGCTGTACTTTATGGAAATGCCTAATTGCTGCCACAATTTCGAATAGTTGGAGGGGGGGGAATAGGACTTTCGAGGGTGTAAGTATGGAGAAACAACAACTCAGAGATGTATTCTTGCCACAGCAGTGGAATGGGCAACTATCCAAAAGGAATGTGCTTCCATTCCAAGGTACATTATGATAATACTATGCTCATAAGCTGGTGGCATGGTGGCAAAGTGGAATCCTTCACCCCCAGCTGAGCTTTGATGGGAGTTAGATTGGAAAACCTTGAAGGCAAGGATTGGGGGATTGATTCAAGATCATAGAGGTGCTCTTCTTACTATTTTTCCAGGGCCTTGCTGAATAGCTACTGCTAATGAAGCTGAATCTAAGGCTCTCTTACAAGGCCTTGGATTAGCGCAATCTTATCAAGGACTGAAAGGGACTCCAAGAATAGAGCCTCAAAAAGATGTAATGGAGCAATAGGATCACGATGGAGACTTAACACTCTTCCGGCAGAGATAAAACATGGTTTAGTTAAAGAGAATATCTGCCTTAAAGTCTTGCTCACTGCCGTAGGGAAGCAAGTATAGAAGCTTGTGCTTTGGCCAGAGTGGGTCCTGGGCAAACGAGTTTGGTCACGACAATTTCTAACTTTTTAGCTTGTTATGTAATGCCTTCCATATATTTGTTTAGTTTTAGATTGATGTTCAAAGACTTGGTCAAGTCACGCGAACTTGGCACCCTGCTGAGCCAAGTTCTTGGGTAAAAACTCGGAAATCTAAAAAAATACAAAATTTATGTTCATTCAATGTATAAAGTTTATACTATAAATATGTTTGAGTATAGTTTTGATGTTCTTGATGATTTCTGAGTTTTTCTTATTACATGCTTTATTTCTTATTGCAAGCTTTATCGTTTTGAGTTCCCCTATTTTTTGGACTTTTCTAAACTATTTCCAGCTACACTTTTTTTTTTTCTTCCAAATTCCATCTTCTAAATACTTTTCCCATGTTTTTAACGAATTGCAAATCATCATCATCATCATAGCTTTTTCCCAATTTCATAGAATTGCAATGCTTATTGTAATTTTCTTTTTACTATATTATATTTGTAGCACTTTATAAACTTATTTTGCATGTTTTTAGCCCTTTTTGGGATTGTACATTACTCAAACAAGTCCACTAAGACTCACTCGAGTTATGCAGCTTAGACAGGGGCCACGAGCCTCACTCGTGTTTTTAACCTTTATATGAGATAAATGAAAGTAACACAAGTCACCATTAAAAAACAAAATAAAATAAAATAGAAGTTCAGGTTTGTATAAGGTGCCCACCTTATACTATACAAGTAAGGAGCATCTGTAAATTTTGCTGGAAGATGTAGTTCCAGTGTCAGAAACCTTAATTTGGCTTGAAAATCCATATTCAATCCTAGTTATGAAATTTAAAATTTAAAAAAGGTACAAATTGATCATATCGATAATCAATTTAAAATCTTGAAAATAGATGGTCCAAAAAGCTTATTACAAAATGAACTATTTTTAAGACTTGAATTTTTTTTTTTTCTTTATATCATATGGGTGAGGACCTCAAACTTTCCCTTAACTCGTCCCAAGCTCGGGTAAAAGAGTGGGTTGCATTACATAGTCAAATAACATAAAACTTTGTCATGTCTTATCATGCATCCTGAACCTAATATTTTGGTCTTACGAAGGCATTGACTATTGATAGAGAAGAAAGGAGGAACATGATTCATGTAGAGGCCCCAAATACTTGGGATAAGGCTTCGATGACGATGACAATAATACATACCGAGTTCTAAGATATATCAATTAGAAAAATTTCTAACTTAGGAATATTCTTTTCTACTGGATTTTTTAGGTCTACCTTACTCCTACAATGTAAGGTTGCAAGATTATACAATTTTTTTCCCAAATTAAGATATTCGAACAAATATATAAATGCAATTCCTCTTATTTGAGAACCTAGCAGTGCTTGGTGAAGTGGTAGCACCTAACTTTGGATAGCATAAGTAACTCGAGCTCCATTTCACTAATAAATCCATTAAAGGAAAAAACCCAAAGACAAATTTAACATGCAATTTTCAGAATCTCACTTACTCAAACCTGTATTCTCCTTTGCTATAAAACCCTAAATCATAAGATTTCCACGAAAAAATCAGTTCAAGACTCGAACAATTTTCACAGATAACCAGTTCAAAAAAAAGGAGGCAATCTTGAACTTCTCACTGGTATGGAAACCCTAAGAATATCAAGAAGAGGGAGAAAGACAAAGGGATCATCCATGGAGAAAACCAGAGAGATAAACAATAGTATGGAAACTCCAGGAATATTAAGAAGAGGGAGAAAAGGAGAGGGATTATCTATGGAGAAAACTAGAGACAGAGAGAAACTAAGTGCAGGAGGAAGAACAAGAAAGAGAGAAATACAGACGAAGAACACCAAGCCAGAGATCACAAGCGTACCTCTCAACGTCTCAGCCCTTTGCTTCCCGGTTCGACTCTCGGCCCTTCAAAGGCAAAAGAAGCGCGACAGACAATTTAAAGCGGTGCGCGGATTCTATGCTCCCGCGGGAGCAAAGTGGCAAAAGAAGCGCCAGAGGGAATTTCAAGGGGTGCGAGGATTCTATGCTCCCGCGGGAGCAAAGTGGCAAAAGAAGCGCCAGAGGGAATTTCAAGGGGTGCGAGGATTCTATGCTCCCGCAGGAGCAAAGTGTATATATGTTCCCTCAGTAAGAAGACATCTACATTTTTTTTTTTCTTTTTTTAATATGAAATTTTAGGATTGCTTGGGAGACTTTCTTGTCCATATAAAATTTTAGGGATTATTTAAACTACATGATTGGTTTAAAAGAAAAAATTGAATTCTGATTTATAACACATATGTCTTACCTTCTAAAAATTGGACTGTGTAATTTAACCTTCAGTTATTTTTTTTTCATTCTTTCATAGTTACTGAGACCAAATTGATCTGGGTCCAAATGATTGGATTATGATTATGTTTTGACTGGTTTGGTCTAGAATAAAAATCGTGTTTGATAAAAAACTCATTAAAATTAGTGTTTGACTCGTTTTTAGCTAGTCCAACTAACTAGTTTTGACCGGTCAACTAAAGTGATTTTTTTCTAATATATTATATATTTTAAACTACTCTCTATATATTTTTAAAATACAATCCAACTAGTTTAGCCAATAGTTAGATTATTTTTTATTGGACAAATCTCTCACCGATTTGATGACCAATAAAACCCTAATAACTATTTTTTTATTCAAGTGCATGAATAGTACAATTAGGAGTTTTTTTTTATTGAAGTCATCATACAAGTTAAAAGGCTCTATATAAACTTTTTCCTAAGTTAAAAGGATTTATGTTCTAAAACATAGGTTACCATATATTACGTTTTTACTCGAAGAAGTAAATACACATTATACTCCGGCTAAAGCATAATAAATGCTTTTGGTTTTCAGAGACAAAATAACGAAGGTTGGGTATTTTCGTCATCAACCGCGAAATTATATATGGAGTGAAGGAACGCTGAATTGAGAGAGGGGAGGTCGACAGGGAGGGGAAATTCTCTGCTGCACCTTGATTTAGAGAGAGAAAGATGGGCGGTGGTGTTAGTTTCAGGTGGGTTCTGCAACTCCACAAGGATGTACCGAAGGCAGCTCGGTTTTACTCCGAGGGTTTGGGACTGAGTATCAATGTCTGCACTCTTGCATGGGCCGAGCTCCAATCTGGTCCTCTCAAGCTTGCCCTAATGCAATCAAGGTGCCCTGTCTCTCTCTCAACAATTTCCCTTTAATTGTTCCCATATCTAGTTATGCATTTTCTCTCTCTTATATGATGTTTCTATTGGCATGGGGAATTAGTAGGAAGTATGCAGCCAGATGAAAAAAACAAAAAAGGATGATCAATAATATTACATTGTTATAATAATGCACTTCATCAATGTGAATCATTGTCTGACAAACTCGCGTTTCGACTCTAAACGGCCTGAGTCAAAGCAGGATCAGCAGGTAGCTGGTCTGACTTTATCCCCAACTCAAGATCGGACTAATAGACCCAAAAATTGTATCAATTCTTTTATTGTGGAACAATTGCTATGATTTAGGATTTCTAGACATTATTTGAATATTTTAAACTGTATATATTTGTTTTCATTATTATTTTTATATAGTGGACTGAACGAGTCGCCAACTCTGTGGGTTCAAGTCGGAACCGGTGGGTGACCTATTCGACCCAGTGGTTGGATTTTTAAAACACTGGAATGAATGATTGAAACACAGAGTAAGATTGGTCTTCCCTGTGATTTAGACAAATAAAAAATAAAAAGACGGAAGAACAAAAGCTTGGAGTTGGTTATTTGGGTCACGCAGTCATGCTTTCCTCTTGGGCATTTTGTATTACGGAGTAATGCTTTGGTTTTCCCTGTGGTGATATGTTTGGGTGACTTATTACTTGTGTAATTTAAATTATTTAATTCATATTTAAAATAAAAGATGAGTAAAAAAGAAGAGAAAGTATGCCGAAACTATGGTCATAATCATGCTTAGCTGTCATATGTGGAATTTGGTATTTGGGGGTATGGGATTAATTGGGACCAAAATTTGATAGATTTTTTTTGGAACCTTGTGCAAATAAAAGATACATCCCTAGCCATCCAATTTGATATTTGACTGCTAGGGGTAGTCGTGACCTTCTAGGTAAATGGTCTTATAGTTTTACAATCCCAAAAAAGATATTGAGAGAGAGAGAGGATAATCAACATTTTCCTTTGATACCCATTTTATTATGACAATTTTTACGTAACTATAATGTAGAATGTAGTTTACGATAGCTTTCTTCAGGGTATATAGGAAGCTTCCGAGGATACTTTTCTGTTTTTAGGGAGAAGAATTGACAAAATGAACGTAAATGTTTTCCACACCTTCTCCACAAAAATGGAAGTCCCATTTGAGGAAGTATACAGCATGAATGTCTAAGCTTAACATTGATTGAAATACTTCTAAACACTGAGAAAAGTGTCCTTTGCACATCGTACGTATGTGGCATTGGGAACAATGAGTTCTACCCCTTAAGGTATATTTGACGATTGTGATTCCTCCAATCCCACCACTAACTAACATGGGGCATTGGACAAGCCAAACTTGTATGAGAAGAGACACACCAGGTCATTGACCTCTCTCGATCATTCAAAATTTAGGATAAATATATGTGTGACCCTAAGCTTCACACATGTGTGTATGTATGTCCTCTAGGATATTTTTGTTGTTAGAAACAATTTATATCTCTAGGAATAAATAGAATGCTCTTAAGTTACATCCGATCATATGCCTAAGATGCCTTTATGTGCATGCCACTGCAACTAAAAAATTCTCTCTATGCTATTCAAGGATGGAAGGGGGCAAAATTGTGGAAACATTTACCACAGATGATGTAATCAGTACTTCCCACAACGGAAGCATTGCACCTTTTCTCTTATTGATCGTAAGCATGACACCTAGTCAATTTAACCAAGCTATAACTTCACATTTACTTAATGGAATCATGTGTGAATAGCTTAGTCCGTGAATGAGAACTTGCATTTCCTGAATGGGGTAATGAGGAGTGGGATCTCCATATTAAACATAAGTTGAATTGGCTGGAGTATGTGCATGGGCAACTATTTTCAACCTTCTTCTCATGAGCTTCTTGCTTATTGGGGTCTGAAATTTGCATGTTTAGTTTATGGTTTCAACTAACCAGCCCCATCGATTAGCAATTTATATCATTTGGTGAGGCACTCTTTCCCTTTGTGGGACTACTGATGTATTCTTTGGCTTCACATCCTTGTACATACCTCATAAAGCTATTGTGAAATTCTTGGAATGTAGCCAAAAAAAAAAAATCTTGGCACTTCACTTATTACTTGGATCAAGGAGCATGGTATGGCCTTGAAATCTTTCACTAAGTGGAACCTGAGAAAGGGGACACATAGGGAGGTTGTTTCCTTGCATTCTGTTTTTAAAACTGGGTGTTTATTCAGACCAACTGCTTTTGATTGTGACAACCTTATGCCATTTGAATTGCTTTCTGATTTTCTGGTTCTCATTGTATGCAAGATAAGTTTCTTGCTATGTTTGCCTCATTTCCCGATATACCAGTATTGAACAACCGGATTACTCGTTCACTAAACCTGTGACTTAAGTTTACTGAGTAAACTCTGCCCTTGATTTGTATCCCCCTGGTTGTGTTTGGAGGGAGCTGCATTGGGTGGTATTTTTTGTACATTCTTTGTACTGTTCATTTTAAATTTACCTCGCAAGCAATTTAGCCTTTTTTTCTTTTATTTTATGTTATGAAATATAGATTATTTTGGTCGGACTCTTCTTAATGCTTCATGTATGTAAGAGAATTGAGAGTCACCTGTTGCCAGTTAAAATATTTTTTTAGGCAATATAAAAATATTATTTGGGAGTATATTTTTATGTATCTTAATACGAACAATGGAACAACGATCCTTTTTCTTGATAACTTAGTATGCTATTTCTTCTCATGCCAATTACTCTTATGGATTCCCTTAAAATTGACAAAACTATTGGTAATGTGGTTAGTTTGACTGCTAAATCTTGTTTTGCAGTGACATTGTTATTCAGAAGGGGTATTCCTCCCTCCTATCATTCACGGTGTCTGACATAAATAGCACAGTGACAAAGCTGTTGTCATTAGGAGCTGAGCTGGATGGTGCCATAAAATATGAAGTCCATGGCAAGGTAGCACTATTCTTTGGTTTCCACTTGAGTATGACAATGAAATGTAGGGAAAGCTAAGAAAGCATCACGAGTTTCATAATATTTTACCATAATGCATCCAGTTTCAATAAGGATAAAAGAAAAGCCAAGTTTTGACACCCTATCAATACTAACAGAACTTATAGATGCCCCCATTCTGTGAGAGAGAGAGAGTTGTTTAAACGGGTATGATTTCATAGTTGATATAAAAATGGTTAGGATTCATCGTCATTAATGGAACTCTTGGTGGACTTGCAGGTTGCTGCTCTGCATTGTGTTGATGGGCATCTGTTGGGCCTCTATGAACCAGCCTGATGAACCAGCATGACTTTGGACCTTCAGGGATATCACCCACTGTCATGTCCTTCAGATTGCTCCTTTCTTCAAGAAAAGGAATGAGAAACCTTTTTGTCTTTGGGATTCTCTTGAAATATAGACGTTGTCGGCTTTTCCTGAGCAATCAGCACAGTGCATATGGTATAGAGCGTTGCCCCGTAAAATCGTGAGATATGCACTCAATGACTGAGATAACAGAATGAGGCATGCAGGGCAGTTTAGTGTAGATTGTTATGCAAAGTGGGGGGTCAATCCCATACAGAAACGTTTCTGAATAATACCTCTCATGCATATTGGTACTCATTATCAAATGAGTCCCCAAGGATTGATAAGTTATGTCCTTTTGATTGCTTTGGAAATTTGCCTGCTCTTTTTTGCCAGTGAAGGGAGTTCTCGTCATGTACCTTCATGCAAAATAGGGGAAATGAAGATAACACTTTTGAATACTCTCTCTCTCTCTCTGAGACAATATTAAAACGTCCTCTTTCATGGCGATGTGTAGCTTCTCTCTTTGCTATCCACGTGCCAACATTATACTCTTAGAACTCGTGTTGTATGCATGTAGGGCGGGGAAGCCATGTTATTTACCTGCTCCACTTGAGGATGGAGGTACGTGTTTGCATGGGAAAAGGGCATCCTTCCGATTTCACAAACTGAGACCCTGTCAAAGCAGTTTCAGCATTCAAGATCCTTTTTGACCTTACATCCACCAGATTGTAGTAACCTCCCGGCTGAAACACTCAAAAAATTAGCATTTAGGATTCTATTATATGACAGGCATCTGCTTCAAGGTATGGCATGCATCTGCTTCAAGGTTTGTCTCCCATAGTGAATGGATAATGAATGATTATAGTTCTTTGCAGATGTTTTGATTTATCTTTTTGCCCCTTCATGGAAGATTTTGATGTGGTATAACTCGATCCCCCACCTCCCAAAAAAAAAAAAAAAAGAAAGAAAGAAAGAAGACTTTGATGCGGTTATTGCTCGTATATGTAATGCATTATAGAGGTCGGAAGGTTTTACCCTATCATGTACATCAAGTTCTAGCCTTCAAGGTCTGAAGGTTTCAAGTTGATGTATGTCAACAAACCCCATCATGTACATCAATTTCTAGCGTTCAAGGTATGAAGGTTTCATGTTGATGTATCTTAACAAAAAACACTGCCAACTTCCATGTTTGATATTACTATGTGGAAGCTGTAAAAGCAACCTTCCATACAACGTTTTTTAATGTTAAAATGGGTTCATTTTTAGAAGACTTCATTTCCATAACAATCTTCCATAATTTGTGGGAAGCTTTAGAGTTAATGCTTGAAACAACTTAGGACTTTGAGTATACGAAGATTTAAAATTAAGGCTTGAAATAACTTAGGATCTTGAAAATCAAAAGTAGAGATATGTTCTACAGTTTTTAACCTTGATTATACCGAATGATTTCTCTATTCCGACCAAGTAAACATTTATAGCAGTTCCACCCTCGTTTCGGGCGGCAATAGGAAATGTGGCAGCAGCGGAAAAGCAATGGACGGTTCGAAAAAAAAGGACAAGCTGTCTTCTAAGACATCTGAACCGTCCGTAGGCCATTTGGGACCCCTCACTCCAGCGGCATTGACATCGTTAAATCGCCGAAAGGGCATCCTTATCCTTGAGAAAACCCGCCCCTTTTCAGGAGGTTTATCTATGGAGTGATTAGAAGGCCCTCGTTGGATTATACTGTGTAATTACTCTCTAGAGTAAAAGAGCGAATTTAGGAGTATAATTCTAGATCCAAACGAGTATTAAAAATGAAATCAATATTTGACCTTCTAAAATATTGACTTGACACCTAACTTATCAACTATTTAATATTATCAAAAAGAAAAAACTTGTCAAACCATTGAAAACAGTTTATATGAGTTGTTAACTTCATATTATGGATGTAAGGCACAAATTCAAAACTCATCGGAAGAGGTTTTTTCACAGGAAAAAAAAAAAAGGAGGATTTCAAGTTTCGAAAATCAGGCATTTTATAACACATGAGATGGATGGTCAATTTTCATGATATACAAGTGTTTGCAGAGCTGATGATTTGCACTATTTATGGAGCTTTAAATTTTGGAAAAAGTTTATATAAGGTCGCAACCTTAAAATATAAAATAAAGGTGTACCTAAAAATCCATTGATAAAAATTGTCTTGCAGTTGAAAAATCCTCTAATTAATCATCTTGATATCGAGATGTATGAATATGTGAAAAAATAAAGATTTATGAATCCCAAAAATAGTACATCTTCCAATACACCATCTATTTTTAAGATTTTCTTGTATTTATAGATCTACTTGATTTTAACCATTTTGGAAGTTTAAAAATTTATAATCAGAGACGAAAATGGATCATAAGACCGTCCCAAAATTTTTAACACCAATGTTACATCTTATGATAAATTTTTGAAGTAAACCTTAGATTGTTTGAGATCGCAACCTTATACAAACCGCACCCTTAAATTTTATAATCATGGATGAATTAGATTTTAAAGTCATTATAGGTGTTTCTTACTCCATAACAATATTTTTCGACGAGGCTTAAAGGCAGATCATACTTTGATAGTTCAAGGTTGATCACTTTCAAAGACCACACCCTTTAATATTTTACCCGTTTTCAACTATTTCAGCTCATTATTAATTTTTAAAAATAGATAATCAAATAAAACATTAAATAGTTTATGAATGTATTTTGATAAATGTTTTTGGTCTGGGAGGCTTCTCCCATTGGGGTCCTAAAAAAACTCTATAAAGATTTTTTTACTCATTGAAGCATGCACCCGCAGGAGCATGAGATCTCATGGAGAGAGATTTTAGCCTTCTATTTAGCTAGCTCAAAGGTGAAGCCTTGACTTTGATGAACTAATCTTAATTGAGTTAGAGGGAAGGGGTGAGAGAGAAACGTTTATTTGTTTAAGCTCCAAGCTCAAATTAGAGAGAGACACGTTTAGCTGCTTTAGCTCTAATCCCAAAAGTAAACCTGATTCTAGAGAGAAAAAGGGAGATATGGCATCGAGATTCTGGTCGTCAACTTCTGATAGCGCGCCTCTTCTCTCAACTTCTCCAACTTTTAAGGCTTCTTCAACCCCTAATTTCGCAGTGGAAATGGTGACGTCCACAACGAAGAACGCCTTTGTTGGAGTTGATGTAGGCACAGGCAGCGCAAGAGCAGGTATCAACTCAGATTGCTGTGCAGGCCATGAATGTAATCATCTCAAATTGAATTGATTTAGGATATTTATGTAGTATCCATATTTTTTGATCAGATTCATATTCATTTCAAGGAGTAATATTCAGAGTTTTGATGGATTAATACTCATTTCTAGTAGTGACGTCGATAGTTCTGCGATCATTTCATTGTCCGTGAAAATGATGTTCCCAAATTCAACTTATCTTGGTTATTTATTTAATTTTGATCATTTTAATTGGATTCATATTCATTTGTAGTAATAATACTGAAAATCTTGATCCAGTTTATATTCATTTCTGGTAGTAATACCAACAGTTTTGATTGATACATATCAATGTTTTTAGAGTCAGATCAAGCCTCGGACTCAGTCCTGGCCCGGCGGGCTGAGTTACTTGGCCAAGTAATGTACAGGGCTCAAACAACCCTAAAAAATTAAAAAAGGCTAAAAAAATAAAATAATAGCTTCAAAAGTGAAACAAGACTAAAAACTAACACAAGGAATCCAAATAAGCTGAAAAAAAACAATATAAAAATTGATTTATGGTTGGGCATTTCAAAAAGAAAAATACAAAAATAGGGCAGTTGACAAAAAAACTCACAAAAAAATAGGGCATATATATTTTTTATACAGTAATCCTACAAGTTTAGATATTTTTTATTTTCATTTTTTTTAATATACCCGAGTTGTAATCTCGCACTTGGATAAGCCAGGGGCGGAGTCCAAGTTACTCTGCCGGGTAACATTCATACAGATCCTTTGTTGTCCATGGAAATGTTGGGACTCAATTTCAGTATATTGGGTACTTAGTTTTGATAGTTACCTGTTTTTCTTTAGCCATTGATGTCTTTCTCGTTGAGAGAGCATTTATTAAATGACATGAAATCTATTTTCGTTGGGTTGCTCTAATAGTGTTGTTTTGGCTTACAACCTATAGTTCTTACTGCATGGATTGTTATTTTTGGGTACTGAAATTGGAAGAATTAGGTTTGTTAGTTTGATTGTAGTATATGCTGATGTCGAATGAACAAAAGGAAGAAGCCATGAGTGTTTTTAAAAACTGAGATCTTCCATGTGCTTTGCTGGGATGGGAGACTGAACTTTTGGGCCTATATCTGAAGTTGTTGACCTAATTTCAGTTGCCAATGAGGTGGCTTCTGGAATATGAAATTTAAGTTAACCAATTTTCTTTTTTGAACATTTTAGGTTCTTCTTTGGTTTCCCTCGATAAAAAAAAAGCAAAATTTGGTGTAAATAGGGAAATTTGCACTTAATTTTTGTCAAGCTATAAAAGGGACCAGATTTTGCAGATTGTTCTTGAAACTGTTCTGCTGTCAATATATATTACCAATAGAGAGTTTTCATTTTCCTCTAGTGAAGTGAGTATCGGGCAGTCCACAAGCCGGGTGCTTTATACAAACATCCCAAGTATAAATGAAAAAAATGTTAGCAAAAAATCGGTATATGCCAGCCCATAAGACAGGTACTCAAAACTTATGAGACAAAAAAAGGTAGGTGGCAGCAACCTATGAGTGGGTTGCTGAAACTTATATGACAAAAGAAGAGTAGATGGCAGCCACGTGATGGGTACTCAAGTACTCACATCATTGGCAGAGTAGAAGGAGGGAAGAGTGTGAAGAGAGGTCTGCGAAGAGAAGGAAGGGGGCAGAATTTAGAGGGGAGGGAGGGAGGTGGTGGGGGTCGGGGCAGGGTCCCGGAGTGGGGGGGGGGGGGGGGGTGGGTGGGG